CTTGTTTTTGCTGACTGTATTGAGCTTCTCCATCTTTGGCTGCAGAGAATATAGTCAATCTGATTTCGATATTGCCCATCTGGTAATTTCCATGTATAGATTCACCTCTTGTGTTGTTGGAAAAGAGTGTTTGTGATGACCATCTTGTTCTCTTGACAAAACTTTATTAGCCTTTGCCCTGCTTCGTTCTGAACTCCAAGGCCAAACTTCCCTGTTGTACCTTTTATCTCTTGGTATCTATGGTACCCTAAAATGCCACAAAACACATAAAAATAGCTTAGAATATCTAGGAATAGAACAGTTTTACGGAATAGAACAATGGTATATTAACCCAGAGAACAACAAGATAAAAGATAAAAAACATAGCATAAAAGCCAACACTTTGGCTGCAGATACCTTATGAAAATACATTGGGAGATGAATTGGCGGTTTTGAAAATGGGTTAAAGTGACGTGTATTTAGGTTGGTGTGTGCATTGGGAAAACTTTTAATTAGTTTTTAGCTGTATTGTTTATCAGGAGAGGGGACTACATGGCCTTCTAAAATCATTGCAGTATCCTCTGCCCACCTGCCGATGCTGCTATGATATTATTTTTCCCATTTCTTTCAAACTTTCATATCAGTATGTCAGTATTACCGATTTTTAAAAAAAAAACAGGTTTCCTGAAGCCTGTGGAAACCAGAGAGGTTCCTCCTTCAGTACATTTTTTTAAGTGACAGCAGCCTTCTCTCCTTTAAAACAGCTGAGTGAGAACACCTAGGGGAGGATGAGAGCAAGGCAGCTAGTGCTGGCAAGAGGGAAGCCAAGAGAAATTGGTGGGACATTAACATAGTCCCACAGTTTCTAGGTTTGCAAAGGAGGGAGTATTCCCCCCCCCTTACATTGGCTGCCATTTAAAAAAAATTATTTCAAACTGGTATAGCACTATTTCACTATAACACATAGAAAAAATAAAACACATCAGACTGCAGCCTGACACAGATGGACACACCCATGTACACGCAGAAGGAAGCCTGGGCAAGAAGAAGAGGGAACTGGCAGCAGGGGCTGGCGAAACAGAAGGCATGTTGATGCATGGTGGAAGTGGCAAATTCCACAGATGCAATTTACACCAACAAAGGTGGTCACATATGCTAAAACAATAAAACTAAATTGATTTCACAAGTGAGTTAAAATAAACAAGCCTCTTGCCACCTAGTAAAATATCTTGCTTCCCAACAAAAAACACATATGTGGGGATGGAGTGTTTTAGATCAAATTGAAACATAGTAAACATGATTCCTTGCTTATGTGACCTCACCCTTAGAATCAGCCTTGAAGTCTTCACAGAGACAAAATACAGTGGTGCCCTGCATAGCGATGATAATCCGTTCCGGAAAAATTGTCACTATATGGATTTGTCGCTATGTGGAACGAAAAAGCCCATAGGAATGCATTAAAACACGTTTAATGCATTCCTATGGGCAAAAAACTCACCGTTCTGTGAAAATCTTCCATACGGCTGTCATTTTCACTGCCCGGTAAGTGAGGAATGGGCACGAAAACACTGCAGGCGGCCATTTTTTTTACTCGGCGGCCATTTTGGAACTGCCAATCAGCTGTTAGGAAAACATCGCTATGAGAAAATCAGTGAGCGAAACAGCTTACCGATCATCGCAAAGCGATGTTTTACCATTTAAAAAACATCGCAATACGATCGCAAAAACGATCGCAAAAAACACATCGCTATGCAGATTCGTCGTTAAGCGGGGCACCCGTTATGCGGGGCACCGCTATATTTGACTGGTAAGCACGTGTTTGCATGGCTAGCGTACTGTAACTATACACTCATGTGAACACAAATAAACCCTGGATTACTGTATTATATTTTATTGTGTTTTTAGTTACACATATGTGTAAGATGTCTTATGTCCCAGAGGGAAGAAAGGTAGGGCATAAATGAAATAAGTAAATACAAATAAGAATTTTACAAATCTGGACCTTTTGTAGAGAAGGCACCAAAAAGTACATGTAATCCAGAAAAGAAAAACTGGACACTCCTTTATCTACAAAGTAAAGTAATTAGGATCCTCACTGAGAGTATTTTGGATGATGATTTCTTATAGGAGTAAGACATACTTTATCTGATCTTAATAAAACAAATGGAAATTACAGTGTAACAGTTCCTGCTGACTAAAGCCCTGTATGCATTTTGTATATAACTTTCTTCTTTGTGCATTTTTTAAATAAAAGGATGAAAGATTGTGCAGAAAAGAAAAGCAATAGTAATTGCTTCAGCCTCCCTTTTCTACAGATGAAAGACTGGACAGCATGCCCTTTAATGGGCAAGGTGAACAAGTCCTTAGTAATGTGGCAATTACTGTGCAAAATGATTCAGCTCCTTCAGTACGGTCTGATTGTGCACCAAGGCATTTCAAAACGTGATTTTCAACAAACGTTTTCCTTGCAACACACAAAATGCTGCATGTCCGAATTGTGTATTGTTGAGTATTATTCTAAGGCAATCTTCTATGTTCAGTGCAAGTTCTGGTTGCATTTGACAGAACTTAATTTGACCAGGTCTCAATTTCCAGGTCTCAATTCCCTGTGGATTTGGCACAGGAGAATGTGAACTATTAACAATTAATATTCTAAGCATGTGTAAAGTGAACTTCTGCACTGAGCATAACAAATTTGTAGAGTTTAGGGAGAAAGACGTTTGGGACAGATGGTACAATTTCCTGGAGTGCTTTATGTTACATCTTGGTCAAATTCCTATTGCATAATTATGCTAGCAGAAAGGATATGGTATAACTGCCAGTAATTAATGAGTCCCTGCTTGAGTTCCTGGTTGATCTTCAAGCCACTCAACTGGAATGCAATGAGAAATCCAAGCAGGAACTTGTTAATCAGGGGCAATTTACTGGTATACCATTCCCCTTCCACCAGTGTAATTCTGCAACAAGATCATTATCACTCTTTAACAATAACAATGGCAACAACAACAGTACTTTTTTCCAGGAAATGCTGGAGTCCTAGTTTTTACATCACTGACTATTTTTACCCTTTATTTATGGCTCTACCAGTATTAATTATTTTGTTTTCCTTTTACATAGCTGGATAATCCAGATGAACAAGCAGCACAAATCAGGCGGGAGTTAGATGGACGTCTCCAAATGGCAGATCAGATTGCAAAGGTAAAAAAAAAAATTGTTTTTACAGACAATTGTATGTTTATTTAATTATCAACCCTTGAAGTCAGTGGAAGTCAGAATGCAGTCTGTAACAACCTGAAAGCATCATGGCCAAACTAGATGAGACATCAGTCGCGTATTTACCAACTATTAAATTTTTAAAAAAATAAAAAATAAAGAGCAAATATAGAGGAGCTGGTACTAATATATTGAAATAATCCTCCTCATCATCATACTTTTAGCACTAAGCCAACCCCTAGGTTCTAATTACATGTCTATTTTTAAAGCTATATAGTTGCTAGAAGTGCATTAGTAGACCAGGACACCACATAGTTGAAAAAAATAACATGAGACATATTTCTGCAGAAGTCTACAATTGAGAGCAGGGTTTACTACGAAGACAAAATTGTTGCCATTAGTTTCCCTACTCTTCCATCCCCATGTATTGGCTAACTGGGGTCAAGTGCTTCCACCCAAAACCAAAGTGTCTCGCCCGAAACCTTTCTGTGCAAGGGTGTGGTCTGGCCTTCGGAGTACCTCTAGAGCACTGGTTGTTAACCTTGGGTTACTCAGGAGTTTTGGATTGCAACTCCCAGAAGCCTTCACCACCAGCTGTTCTGACTGGGGTTTCTGGGAGTTGCAGTTCAAAAGCATCTGAGTAACAAAGGTTAAGAACCACTGATCTAGAGGACCTCAGAATCCTTCTGCCAAACTAGCTTTAGAGGAGTTCTACATCTTTTCACTCACCACAGGCTGCAGTTTAGAGACCCAGGAAGCAGGTAGGTTTCAACTTATGTCCTGCATCTTTCTATCTTTTCCTGTGGAAGAAAAAAGTGGAGAAGGTAAAGGCATGAGGGCATGCCTGTAATATTTCTCACCAAACCCATGATTGTTTCTTGAGTGCATTGAAGTTGGGTGTCATCCATATGATCCAATGTGATTCAACATCACAAGCCTCTGAGATGCAGTCAGAAATTCTAACCAAATTGCTGCTTTGCCCTCATGAGTAAGTAGGAAATACATCTCTCTGTTACAAGAAGACTTCAGCTCAGGAGGAAGCAGGGTGATAGGTGTGCAGATAGTGAATGAGAAACAAGGAGCTCAAGTATCTAATTATAATAACTGAAGACATGAAGAGAACTTGCTGTATAAAAACAGAGTTAGGCTCTTGCTGTGTTATGATGGAGGGGGGCGTGTCCTTGTGAAAGGAAGCACTATAAAAATCAGGGTAGCTAAAGCTGTGGTGGGAAAAGCTAGGAAAAGTCTCCATGGCATAAAAGAGAAGGCTCACCAAGTGCTTTATGACATTCTTATTCTTCTTCTGGGAGGGAAGAATTGCAATCTGTGTCCAAGCCCTTCCCATCTGCAAAAACAAATACGATGCAGTATGGGTTTTTTTTTTTTGTGACAAATCCAGATATATCCTCACTGCTACTGACAGCCTCTGCAACAGAATATATTACCAAGCCCAGACTCCTCTGGTTAATTTCAGGGAAGCACAAATGTACAATGAATCTCCCTGGAATAAGTCACAAATCCCGGAAGGTTATGTGCCAAGTTCAATGTTTATATACAAGCATTTGCTAGGCTTCTCTGCACAATTTCAGAACAAGGTGCTTTCTTGGTGATGTTTCTTAGCAATAACTGTCAAGAGATATCAAAAGTGAGCCTCTAATTGTTGTTGTTTATTTTGTAGCATCAACGTTTGCTCTTATGCAGTGCATTCTGTTTTCAATAACTTTGACACAGCAAAGAGGAAATCCCAGGATATAAATCCCACTTAAAAGATAGAAGTAAACCAAAATAGAGATTTTTTAAAAGAGTAGGAAAGAAGAGTCCATACAAGTAGTCTTATCTCCTCTCAATCTCTCTCTCTCTCAAAGAGAGTAGGGAATATAGAAAGTAAAATGAGTAGGGGGATTTTTGATACTTAAAAAAATTCTTGGATGTCATATAGTTGCATACAACAAACAAAAATAGAAAAAGAATGAGACAAAACTGTATAGTATTATAATGTTAAAAAATTCTTTCCCTTTTTTTAGCTTCTCAGTTACATTATTGCAGCTTATATTACTTTGATTAATGAACTTAAATACCCAGTATATAATATCAACTTTTCTCATATGCTTACTATCCTTATTTTAGTTATGCCAGGATCCATAAGTATTATCAAAAACCCTACCTTATTTTTGAGTTGATTTCTTGAGATAAAAAAGCAGGAAACTACATAAACTGAAAACTGATAGAAAGAATGTGGTGTTCAGTTTATCATTGCTTATTTTACTGTTTATATGCAATTAAATGAATTATGATAAAATTTCAGGGAATTATTTATTTTTTTACACACAAGGATGCTTTGTTATGTTGCACACTGAGTCACACAATATTTTACACAACAGATCATGTCTATGGTGATTTTTTAACTTCAGGCAATCCTCCTCCACAAAATCACTCTGTTTGCGTTATGCATGCAAGTGTGACTCATAGGAAATTGGTTGATGTGTGAGTGCATGCCCAATGTATGGCCAGGGCATAAGCACATGGCTGGGAGCAGATCATTTGTCCTCTTGCTGCAGTATATTCACTGTATGCTCAAAGGGAAACTTCTGCTGTCTGAAAAAAGCCAGGTAAATCTCCCAGAATGGACATCTAAAATACAGAAAGTGTGGCAGTCCTAAGTTTGAGCGTCTCATGAGATACGTATATGATTTATTATAAATGAAACCCTATGTGCTAAAGATGTTAAAATTTTCAGATTTAAACAAATCGTTCCCAAGAGGGCATAATCCACAAATATATAAGGAGTTGGATGCAGGGTTAGCTATTAGCAGCATGAGTTAATATAACAGTTTATAGAGCCAAGCTTATTTTACTGGGTCAAATAATAATTATGAAACTGCCTTACCGGCTAATAGGTAAGCCTATTAAAAAGACACAAGGATTATGATGTGATCAGAAATGTGGTAGCTAAGAATAAACTAATGTAATATTTTGGAAGCCTGCATTTCTTGCCTCAATCATCGCATTAAAAGGCATTGTTTTATGTGAGTCACTTAAGAAGTTCCAGAGACAGACAGCATCTCATTTGTTAAATAACTTCTTAATGAGAAATACTTTCTGTACCCTTTCTGTCATACTTTATCTGGGTTTTTCGTGATGCCTCAGTGGAGAGATTTTGGTTATATTACTACCCATTGTCTCTTCATTAAAAAGAGTTTTTACTGGCAATAAGTGCTTAATCTTCTGGCCCTAGGCATAGTTCCATAAATGCTGATCAGCATGAAGTGTTTTTATAATTCAGAGTGAAGACTGGACAGGATGTCAAATGGGAAAGCTACACAGAATGAGAGGCAAGTGGAACAACACTTGTGATTCATGTCAGTATATATTAATAGGCTACCCTATTCTTAAACTTCTGTGTCGATCAACTGGCCGCAAACAAAGACAAATGGAAGTTGTTTATGGCATATTTTATTTATTTATTTTATTTATTTAAAATATTTTTATCCTCCTTTTCTCCTTATAAAGAACCCAGGACAGCTTATAACATTAAAAAAGACATGTTTAAAAGCTAGAAATATTAAGTATGCAAATATTAAAAAATAATTAAGTTAGTATTATATTTAAAACGGTAATAAAATTAATGCTGTGTGTGTGTGTGTGTGTGTGTGTTTAGTCGTTTAGTCGTGTCCGACTCTTCGTGACCACATGGACCAGAGCACCCCAGGCCCTCCTGTCTTCCACTGCCTCCATTGTTGTGTCAATTTTATGTTGGTTGCTTCGCAGACACTGTCCAGCCATCTCATCCTCGGTCGTCCCCTTCTCCTCTTGCCCAAATGGAAGTTGTTTATGGCATATTTTATTTATTTATTTTATTTATTTAAAATATTTTTATCCTCCTTTTCTCCTTATAAAGAACCCAGGACAGCTTATAACATTAAAAAGACATGTTTAAAAGCTAGAAACATTAAGTATGCAAATATTAAAAAATAATTAAGTTAGTATTATATTAAAAACGGTAATAAAATTAATGCTAAAACACATTTAAAACAACAGAGTACAACAATCCATTTAAAAAACTTATCTCAGACCACTAATTATTAAAGAAATTATAAACAATGTGTCTTTTTCTTTCATGTTGCTTTATTTGAGAGATTCTTCACCATCATTCCGATGGGATATAAAAGGCAGTGATGATTGTTTACCTTCTGTTATTCTTTTCATAACTTTGAAATATTCTAGCTTGTGAAATCAAATAGTCCTGAACCAAATTCTTACATTTATGAGCATAAATTGGCAAATACAGTACTGCTCTACTCATGTGCCTAAGTGCTGATGTGAAAACATATGTTCTAAGTGAAATACAAGAAGAGGATTTAATCCACTGTTTGGTCAATTTTTTTGACATACATCGACCTGTTGGGGTTGCCACTGAAATACTATTTTTGAACTTTGAGAACAAATCTTGGCAAACGTGAAGCTTGAAACTTTTCCATCCCTCATCAGGGACTGGAAATATCCAATCCCAGGATTAAATTGACTAAATTTCATGTTATGTCTGAACTCTAGTTAGCATAAATGATGTTTGCTTAAAATGAGTGGGGATTATAAATCTTGCTTAGCTTTGCTTTGGTAAATTGAGTTTTAATAGGAATGTCATGACGAAGCAAGGTCAGTTTTTCTTTGGAATGAAATACTTCTAATATCTTTTCATGTGTAGTAGGAGAGGGCAGAATGGATTACATGCATCTAAGGATCTTTTTATAGCACTGATCATGAATTCATGGATTCATGAAGTCATCTCCAAAAATCTAGGTACTAGCACTGTCACATACTTTCGGTTCTTGTACTCTTTACACGCTGTTCCTAGAGTTTAGCTCTTCCTGGATGTTCCTATAGTTAATCTTGAGGCAAACCTCAGTTGAGAGTGTAGTCTTGTTGAGGCTGTAACTGGTCTAACACATACAGACTTTCCTTGCAGAGACCTAGTAATGTTCAGGAAACCATTTACCATGCTGGGAATTTGATTTCATGAAGAAAACAATTGCTAAGACTCTTCAGTGGTGTATGCTACACAATGAGGTCATGGGGAAATACAGAAAATACTGTACTGCTGTTAATACTTAACATTATTAACAATGGTCATCCACAAAAGCATTTTTTTTAATGATGTGCAAATATCCTGCCACAAGGTAAGCCAAATAATACATGTAGTTTAATGAGAAACCTTTATCTCAATGCAAGCCACTGGAGATACAATATAAAAATATTGCATTCTCTAGCATTAATATTTTTCAAAGCTTTTTAGCTTCATAATGCCTACTATATGGTTGGAAGGAGTACAAGGCTGACATATTGCTAGTTCTGAAGCATATGGAATACATACTATACAGAAGAGATAAAAGGATGACAGGCTCCTTTGAAGAGGAATCCCATGAGGAAGAACATGCAGTTCTAGAAAGTGAAGTGAAAGATGTTCTAAGAGAACTAGGAAGAAATAAGTCACAAGGGGTAGAAGGAATACTGATAGAACTATTTCAAGTCACAGGGATGGAATCTGTCAAAATTATAACAAGAATATGCCAACAAATATGGAAAACCAAACAATGACCCATAGACTGAAAATGCTCAATATGCATTCCAGACTTTAAGAAAAGAGATGTCAAAGAGTACATTAACTATAGGGCCATTGCTTTAATATCTCAAGCAAATAAAATGATACTCAATATGTTGCAACAAAGGCTTTTACCTTATGTGGAGTGAGAAATGTCTGTTCAAGCTGGATTCCAAAAAGGAAGAGACACTTGCAAATATCATATTGCAAATATCTGCTGTCTATTGAAACACATCATAGAATTTCGGAAGAAGATGAGACTATGCTTTATAAACTACAGAAAAGCCTTTGGACTGTGTAGCCCATGAGAAATTATGGGTTGTTCTGAAAAAAATGTGTGTATCTCAGCACTTGATTGTCCTGATGTGTAACTTGCATTGTCAACAAGAAGCTAATGTTAGGGCAGAATATGGAGAGACAGAATGGTTTCTTATAACAAAAGTGTCAGGCAAGAGAGCATTTTATCCACTTATCTGTTCAATCTGTATGCAGAACACATATAGAAAGTGAGATTAGATTGAAACAAAGGAGGAGTGAAAATTGGTGAAAGACACGTCAATAATTTAAGATATGCAGATGATACCACCTTACTGGCAGAAAGCCTCAATCACTTTAAATGATTGTTAAGGAAAGAAGAAAGAGTCAAAGCAGGACTGCAGCTGAACACGAGGAAAACAAAACGTAACTACAAAAGAACTACACAACTTTAATGTTGACCATGAACTGAAACAGCAAAAGACTTTGTATACCTTGGTTCAATCATCAATCCTAATGGAGACTGCAGCCAAGAAATCAAAAGAAGGCTGACGCTCAGAAGGGCAGCAATAAATGACTTAGAAAGGATCATCAAGTGTAAGTATGTGTCACTGGAGACCAAGAGCGAAATTATCTGCACTGTTGTTTTTCTTATCACCATGTATGAGTGTGAAAGCTGGACAGTAAAGCAAGCTGACAGGAAAAAGAATTGATTCCTTCCAAATATGGCACTGGAGGAGAGCTTTGTGGATACCCTGGACTGCCAGAAAGATAAACAAGTGGGTCTTAGATCAAATCAAGGCTGAATTATATCTGGAGGCAACAACAACAACCGTAGACCTGCAGACCTGGAAGGGACCCTATTGATCATCAAGTTCGGCTCCTGACAAGGAGGCACAGTGGGAAATCGAACTCCCAACCTCTGAATTCACAGACAGATCCCTAAACCATTGAACTATCCAGTGGTTGTCCTACTTAGGGCACACCATGAAAAGGCAGGATTATTTGAAAAAGAAAATGCTGGGAAAGGCTGAAGGCAGCAGAAGAGGAAAACCAAATAAAGGCATTGCTGTCAGTCTATGACATAGATCAGAAGATGTTCAGCCAAGCTCAAACCTGAATATATCATATTATAGTGTAAAGGTAGAACCATAATATAATGGCATCCACAACCACTGAAATGTACCACTTCTAGAAGTGACAAGTATTTCTCAAACAGATCTCTCTGGAAAGTCTAAGTTATATCCTGCTCTTTCTACATCTTTCATCTATTGGATCCACCATTAGCCTGTGAAAAACATAATAGGATTATAAACTTAGAGTGTTAAAAACACAAGGGAGATTTGTGAGCATCAGATCCAAGTCCTAGATTAAACTTTTCAGCAGAGTAGGTACAGAGTCTTGTTAAGCCTGTAGTAGAAGAGTCTTATGTAAAGTATGTCAGACTTTAAGTAGGTGGTGAAAAGGTCCTAAAGATGCTTCAGAAGGACAGCACACCTCGGGGTGTACAATATAGATTCAAGGTTATTTTCTGTTGAAAAGGCCTACTGCAAGAGATGTTCTCTGCTGGTTTGATGTTTTACAAAATAACAATTTCCAGATCACATAGTTCTTTTGCCCTACCATGTAGTTGATAGATTGGGACAACCAGCAACACATTTCAGTGGCTTAAAGCATACTCTACAGCATGTATAATAGTATGGAAAAGTGGTTTTGGGTTACCAGTAATTACAAGCAGTCTTCTAATTCTCCATATCTTCAATACGGACCCAGCCCAGGATTAGGCAGTGAACTTACGTATCACTGAGTCTTTAAGAGCTAAATATCTGTTCAATAATATTTGGATTAGCCCTGATTAAAGAAAGACCTTTGCAGGGTTCAATAAGTTAAATATCAGTAGAATCTGTTATGACTTGCAACCAATGGCTTTATTGACCTCTGCATGCACGGGAAACAGCATCCTTGCTAGAAGAATATAGACTGAACTAGCTTGGTATGGGGCAGCAACCAATGTCTGCCCATGTTGAAAGAATGCATTTAGGGCACCCATTTACACAGGCTATCCCTTCTCCTGCTGCTGGTACCACCGGCAGCTGCATCTCCCTGCACTCCATGTCTTCGTAGCACAAGCTGTACTTGTATACAACCTATATGTGTAGAACTCCTCCACACAAGAGGAGACCTCAACCAACTCAGAGTGATAACTTTGGATTGATAAGCTGTACATACATAGGCTCTTCCATATGCTTACTAGATGTGTAAATGACAGTCTAGCTTACATACTCCCCCGTCTCTATTCCATATTGTATTGTTTCTGATTTGGTGCAAAAGTGTCACCACAGCACGGTTCTCCCATGCTTTATGAAACTGTTCTTTTATTTCAGTAGTGGAAAAATATTACCAATTTATCCTTTCTGCTAAAAGTCATGTGATTCAGTTAGTAGGTTTCATAATAATATACAAGCCGCATGTCATTCCAGTCTGGCTTATCTGCTGTAGTTTCCATGTACTGTTGTAAACCAGCTCCTTCCTCCATCTCTGACTCCATAAAAGATACCGTAGAGCAGGGGTCCCCAACCCCAAGTCCATAGCCCGTGCAGGTCCATGGCCTTGGCAGGACCAGGAGACAGATCACCCACCCACCCCACACACAATCCCCCCACGCACACCCATGTGCACATATGGCGTGCCCATCCATGGGTGCCCCACCCACCCGTGCATGTACAAGCATGCCTCACCATCCACAAGTGTGCCCCGCCCATCTGTGCATGCGTGTGAGCATGCCCTGCCCACCCACACATACACGAGCGTGCACCCTGCCTACCCACAAGCATGCCCCACCCATCTGCACATGCACACAAGCATGCCTGGCCCCCTGACCCCATCCCCACAACCAGTCCGCGGTTCAGAAAAGGTTCGGGACCACTGCCGTAGAGGTTTCATCAAAAGTGGGTTTTAATGAAATAAGGAAAGATGCGGTATCATCCGCTTGTAGTCTAAAGTCTGTTTTGTTACCCTAATATTCTGCCTCATTCTGGCTTCATCAGTTGAACCTGTCAATCCATCAACAGTCAAGAATATCTTATTCTGAAATCTTTGCTGTAATATGATTAATTATGTTGGCTTCTAATATACTGCTGCTACTTAATTTTGTTAACATTTCTTGTCCATATCTCTTGATTAATCGCTGTTGATCTTTTATAGAAAAATATTAATATCAGTAGAAAACGGCAACAGTGTTAACATTCTTGATTCCTTTTTATGATGGCTATTCTCAGAGGTGTTTTTTTTTAAAATGGTTTACTATTCCTTTCTGCCAGGAGATCTCTGGAACTATGCAGCTTATTCAAGACTGCACAGGCTAGCTCTCCTTCTGCAAGACATGAGGGAAACCAAACTCCTGATTCTGTAGACCGGTGCTTCACAGCCTTGGGTAGCCCAGGTGTTCGTGGACTGCAATTCCCAGAAGCCTTCACCACTAGCTATGCTGACCAGAGTTTCTGGGGCTTGCAAGAACACTTGGATTCCCCACCATTGGGAACCACTGATGTAGACATGTGCTCCAGCCCACTGAGCTATTCAGCCACCTTATCTAAGTATAAATATCCATTGATTTGATGCTGTTTATTGCCCATTGATGGTTTTTGTTTGCTTTTTCATCTTTCACAGGAGCGGAAATTTCCTAAATTTGTTTCCAAAGAAATGGAAAACATGTACATTGAAGAACTGAAGTCGTCTGTCAACTTGCTGATGGCAAACTTGGAAAGCATGCCGGTGTCCAAAGGTGGTGAGTTCAAGTTGCAGAAGCTGAAGCGCAGCCACAACACCTCAATCATTGATATGGGAGAAGAAAATGAAAACCAGCTTTCAAAGTCAGATGTGGTGCTGTCTTTTTCCTTGGAGGTAAAAGGCTCCACTTTTCTTCCTGTCAGTTAGACATAATTAAAAAAATAATAATCTCATCCATCGACGTCTAGCTCATCAGAGCTTGAAATAAATGTGTTGTGTGCAGAGGTCAGGGAAATAGACAATGCATCCCTAATGCCAAAACAGAAAGGCTAATCCTCTAATGAACAACATACATATCTCTTCTAAGTTGTTCTTTTCGTTAATTGGCAGCGTACTTAGTATAGTCTGTTAATAGAATATTTGAATCTTAAGCCAATTAACTCAATTGAAGGCTATTTGTTTGCCTGAAAAGATCTTATTCAGCAATGATACATGAAATCGTTTTAAAAGTTGTTGATCAACAGTTCTTATTCTGAATTAAAGCCCCTGCTTTACAGTATCTAAATTTCCAGAGTGCTTTAGCAACGCTTCCATCCTCATTGTCTTACAGTAGCGTAAGATATTCAGAATCACATACTCCACTTGCGGACTTAAGACATTCAAACACATATATTACATGTTGGCTGAAATCCTGTTGAATACCTGAACACCTGTGGAACATCGGTAAAGGACCATTTTTCTTCCTTCTTCTGTCCTGAGGCTTTTCTGATTCCCAAGTAGTTCCTTTCATTGCATGTAAACCATAAACATAGAAGTGTGTGCACGCTTTTTTAAATGAAAAAAGGCCCCCATACCCCCAATTTGGCTTCCTGAATCTGGGAGCAGCAACAGAGAAGGCCCTCTTCCATGTCCCTACCAATCACACCTGGGAGGGTGTTGGGACTGAAAGAGAGGCCTCCTCTGATGATCTTAATGCCCAAGCAGGCTCATAGAGGGAGAGACAGTCTTTTAGATAGCGTATACTAGAGATTGGGGGGGGGTATTCGTATTCATATATGAATACGAATATCCTCCCCACAGGTGTAGATAATGAGGGTCCAGCCCTCTGGGGCCCGACCAACCACTCACCATTCCACTGCTGCCACAGGCTCCACACTCCCTTCCTATCACTCTAGAACTCACAATGGATTAGCCACTCCTGGTAGCTGACAAGCCTCTCTGCCGGGTCAAAGAGTGGCTAATCCACCACGAGCTGTGGAACGATAGGAAGGGACACGGAGCCCACATTAGCGACAGAATGGTGAGTGGTTGGTCTGGCCCCAGGGGGCAGACTCTCATTCTCTGCACCTGTGGTGGGATATTTGTATTCCTATATGAATATGGATATCCCAATCTCTAGCTTGTACCCAAGCCGAAGGTTTTTCCAACAAGGGTATAAGGTTCTGGAGACCTTCAAAACATGGCAAAATTGTCTCGCTCCCAAACAATCCAAGAGAACACAAGGGGACTTTGAAGGGTTTTTTTCCCCAGAAACTACTTCCATAGGCTAACACTCCTCACTTCTTAATGTCAACTCTATATATCCTTATTTTCATCTCCGCCTCCCCCAGAAACTACTTCCATAGGCTAACATCCCTCACTTCTTAATGTCAACTCTATTTTTTTTTAATTTTTTAATTTTTTATTTTTTTTTAATTTATACCCCGCCTATCTGGTCAGTGAGGACCACTCTAGGTGGCTCTATATATCCTTATTTTCATCTCCGCCAGTAGTATTCATTCATTCATTCATTCATTCATTCATTCATTCATTCATTCATTTATATGCTGCCCACATTACCCAAAGGTCTCTGGGTGGCTTACAACAATTAAAATACAATAAAAAGATAAAATAACTAAAATACAATTAAAATATATGCTCTAAAAATTGCTATTAGGACGCACAGTTGATATTGTTTTAATTAAAAGCCTTCTGGAACAGGAAGGTTTTGACCTGCTGCCAAAATATCATCAGCATCAGCGCCAGACGAATCTCAGTCAGGAGGGTATTCCATAGTCTGGGGGCAGATGCTGAAAATGCCCTTTGTCTACATGCCATCCCTCTTACCTCCTTCAGGGACAGCTCTTTCAAAAGGGGCCCCTGGCTAGATCTTAACTGCTTGGTAGGTTCATATGTAAGGAGGAGGTCCTTCAGGTATCTAGGGCCCAAGACGTTTAGGGCTTTATATATCAAAACAAGCACTTTGAATTGGGCCCGGGCAGCAACTGGTAGCCAATACAATTTAAACAGAATCGGCTTGATGTGTCCCCTAGCGGCCCAACCACTCACCAGCCATGCAGTTGAAGTGGTCCAGTTGAAGTCACCAGACAATCTTCAAAGGCAGCCCCACATAGAGCGCATTGCAGTAATCTATACAAGATGTTACCAGTTCATGTCTAACATGATAGTCTGCTCGTCCAGGTAGGGCTGTAGCTGGTATAATTTCCACAGCTGAAGGAAGGTGCCCCTGGCCACCAAGTCCACCTGGGCTTCCAGAGTTAGACTGGGGTCCAGGAGCACCCCCAGGCTGTGGACCCTGTCCCTTAGGGGGAGTGCAACCCCATTCAGGGCATGGAAATAGCCCTCCAGCCTGTCTGGCAAAGCACCCACTAACAGCACTTCCGTCTTGTCTGGATTGAGTTTCAGTTTATTAACCTTCATCCAGTCCATTACCAGGCCAAGACATGAGTTCAGCACAGAAACCGCCTCACCTGGATTGGTGAAAAATGAGGAAATGAGATAAACAACTGAAACTTATCCATTAATACTTGACCTAAGGATGGCATACTGGACACATCCTCTTATTCTGCAGTAATGGTGGAGTCCAACCCACTGAGAATCTGAGTGATTTTTCCCTCAAAATGAATGGCAAACTCATCAGAGCGAGCTGATGAGCAGTCCAGGACCTCCACCAGATTTCCTGGTTGAAGAAGATCCCGGACCACCCAAAACAGCTCTTTTGTATAACATTCTGAGGAAGCAATACAGCTGGAGAAATATTGTCGTTTCGTATTAGCAGTCAGTGGCATGAGCAAGGCTGGAGATATACATGTCTTTATGAGGCTAGAACTAAGAAGTTATGAAAACCTAAAAGTTTTCTCATCCTGTCATTATGTCAAGACATCTCCCTGCCCTGCCAAAAAAGGGCTCCTAAATGAGCATCATTTTATATTAAGTTATATTTTGCACAACCCAAAGTAGTGGGGTTTTGTTTTGTTTTGTTGTATTTTGTTTTGGAAGAAGTACCAAGATATCACAAATGCACAAAAATGTCTAGAAATTGTGGCAGGTGGGGTGGGGGGAAGCTTTTGGAGAAAAAATTGTTCTTGTCTGCAAGAATGAAATAAGTGATGATCCACACTTTTAGTCAGGACACGGAGTTTGCAGAAACAGATGTTATGAGAAACATAGCAAGGAAATAAATAAATAATTCATTTATTTGATTTATATGCTGCCCTGTTAGTGCAATGCACTGTTCTGGGCAGTTTACAACAATAAATAAAAACGTAGAATAGTAGACTATACATAGATAATAAAATTAAAATCATTAGCAAGTTAAAAACAAGTGCCCCCAAAGGAAATTTTTCCATGGGACAGCAGACATAAAATCAAACAGGGTCACTGTGGAAGTCTCTCTGAAAAGCAGCAATCTAAGGTGCCTTCTAAATTTTAAGAGGAAGGGGGGCAGGTGTAGCTCCACCAGGAGCTAGTCCCACAATGTAGGTGCCAATGCAAAGAAGTCCGGACCTCTGGTTGATGGCTTTCAGGCCTCCTTTAGAGTGGCTACCGAGAGGAGCATAGCCTGAGAGGATCTGGTGAGTTAGGCAAATAACACTAGGGAGAGAGACGGTCCGGCATGGCCCCAAACTGTGGAGAGCTTTAGACGTCAGCATCAAAATAGTGATGCCACGACTTGACAGCAGTCTGCTAATATGCAGTTTTGCTTTCATTCCTTTAGTGAGTCTTATTGACATGTAAGCTTAAGTCAAGCCTTACCTAGACAATGTGGGTGCGTTGTTGCTGTAGCTCCTTTTCATTCTACCATGGAAATGTCATAAGAAGAGATGGTTTTATATGAGTGGAACCTCCCTGAAGTCAGTACTTCCCACACTTATATTTCTCATGACTTGGGAAGACCATCCATATAATCACCTCTCTTTGAATGCTCTCGAAGAGGCATGGGAAAAACCTCTGTTTTATAAAATATAGTTTCATAGAAATGGGGCCATCCACCAGCTGTGAAAAGGCCATATATTTGACTCTGTCCTTATTTCCTTTCTGCTTCATTTCATTCAATGACAAAGCATTTTTTTTGCATATTGCAGAGAACATTGAGTTGTTTGGGTCAAAAATAGGTCTTTAGGAAAGCATAATGTAATATTCATTAAGAGTTGTTTCACTGGGACTGTCTCTTTTTTTGGCTACAGTGTCTGAGTTGTTCAATCGTCTTCACAGTGTGCTTTGAATTTGATTAATGCTAATTAGACATGTCACCTGCATTTTGCTGGAAGCTTTGATTTCAAAGTATTTAAAAAAAAAACCTAAGAAAATTGCAGAGAGCACTTGTTTGGAATAAATACAATTTATCTTCACACATACAATTTTTAAATCTATAAAAGTACAATTCATTTTGATTTAATAATTTATATATGTTCTTTATTGTACAACAAGAGGGGATGAATTATCAGGCTTCTGGGTTCTATGGTTGTGGGTTTTTCGGGCTGTTTAGCCATGTTCTGGAGATTTTTCTTCCTAACGTTTCACCAGTCTCTGTGGCCGGCATCTTTAGAGAACAGGAGCTAGAATTGTGGTCTGCTATCCCCTTCTTCTGGGGGTGCCCTTGTTCAGCTTTGCCCAGGGCTACACAAGCTGGTTTTTCCGGAAGGAAATTGAGCTACCATATTCTGATTCTGCAGCTATATACTTAACTCACTGTTCTTTACCATTTAATGGTAAAGAAAACTCTGTGTATGTAGATCAGTCAGTACTTGAGAAAGAGCAAACACTGGAAATCCAAGACACTGAAAAGTGATTTTCTCTGTGTACAATTTCATTTCTATTGCATATCTAAATACCCAGGAGTGAGACTATGCGCATGATACAGTGCGAAGGTATTACACCATAGAACTTGAAATAGTTCACATTACACACGGGATCTCAAGGAACTGTTTAAAATTCATACAAACACTTCCTGCCTGCCTGTCACAAGCCAATAAGGTCCAGCTTGCCTCAAGTTCAGTCATGTTGACCTGTCATTGCAGCAGCTGTTTTACACTTCTTCCTGTGCATGGTCGAAAGACAAAAATTGGATTGGATTTTCAACTAGCCATGGTTATATCAATTGATTCTTGAGCTGTTAAGTAAAGATGCCTGTTGATACGCTGGCAGATCTATAGGGGTTTTTTAATCTGCTAGCAAATCTCCACTAGTAGCGTGGGGCTTTATTCCTCTTCCTTCCCTGCAGAAGCCCTGCACATCATCTGAAAATTTTCTGGGAGTTAGTGTGCCTGATTATATTAACATAAGCAGTTATATCAGCAGAATAGGATCCAGTTCTAGATGATCTATCTGGAACCAGCAAAGATTGATTCATCAACAGTCACAAAATAGTTATATTGAACTTGAAGGTTATCTACATATTCTACATGCAATGCAGTAGAATCTCAGATGTGTGCCCCAACTGGCTAGTGGTTTCTCAGACGAGTTATCATTTATTCTTGTTTCCAGAACTCACTGCTGAACAGAGAACTTTATCTAAGGATTTTTTTTTTCTCCTTTCTTCACAGGTTGTCATCATGGAAGTCCAAGGTCTTAAATCATTAGCGCCCAACCGCATTGTATACTGCACTATGGAAGTAGAAGGAGGAGAAAAACTCCAGACAGATCAGGCTGAAGCGTCAAAACCAACGTAAGTTTCTCTTTCTGTCACTTCCACCACGTTTCTGACTTGACTTCCACAAGAAGGAAAAATGTGTATAGTTAATCATCTCCTTTAAACATAAGGAAAATACTTCACCATAGGAAATCATCACTCAGCTGAGAATTGACAGCTCTTAAGCCATGAGTCAGCAAAGGCTTATAGTGCATTCTTTAGTCTTGTTGAAGTATGTAAGACACATCATAAGTACTTAAAATTAAGCGTATGCTGAATTGCTTAGCGGAAATGAAAGCCAATGACTCAAAGGTAGCACAGATTCCTGCTGATTTTTATATTCTGTTATGTGAAAGAACACTTTTTTTAAACAGTATGACCTAAAAACTCCTAATTATGGCAACACACTGCTCTTTCTTTCACCATCTTCCCAGAACTCTTAAAGGTGTTTCAGGCTACATTTTGCAGGTGTAGGAACCACTCCTTTGTCCCTATACCGGGAAAATGTCAAATGGTCATTGAGACTAGAGGTGTGAGAAGCAGCAGAGTTCGTAAATGTTAAATTTTTGGACTACTTTTCCTCCCACAATCCATCAAGCAGCATGGATTCTGGGAATTATAGTTCATGAGTTACTGTTCCAAGCTCTAGTTAAGGACAACTGACTTCTTAAAAATGTTTTGTCTCAGGTGAGATAAAATAAAACAGTAATTGTTCAATAGATCATCTTCTCCCTTCAGTTTGAGATCATACACTAAAATCAGTTGTACTTGGAAGTTTAAAAATCAGCAAGTGCTGCTATTTCCCGGTAAATCTCATTGTTAAACTTACATTCTGTTTGGTCAAGTTAGGATGTATTTGTTTTTAATGTTTTTTTTAAAAAAGGGGGGGGTAGGGAGTGTGAATTTGAGAGAATTATGGGAACCTGGTGTATTGTTTTACCTCAGAAATCATTGTGTGAAATAAATGACAAAGCAAAGCAAAAACGTGTGCTGCTTATACACCGCCCCATAGCACTTCAAGCACTCTCTGGACGGTTTACAAGTAAATGATGCAGGCTACACATTCCCCCCCCCCCAGCGAGCTGAGTACTCATTTTACCGACCTTGGAAGGATAGAAGGGTGAGTCAATCTTGAGCCGGCTACCTGAGACTGAAGGTCGTGAGAATAGTTGGGCTGCAGTAGAGCAATTTTAACCACTGTGCCACAAGGTTCGTGACATTAACATGAATTCTGTAACTGGCTGAGTAAAGCTTTTTTCTGGGGTTTTTTTTTCACCTCACATGCTAGATATGTGAGTCCTTTCTACACCCTGCTTCTGAATGTTCCAGAAACAAATTACCCCCACAGGTGTGCAGAGACAATTTGTCACTGGGACAGGGAGAAACCCTCCCCAAGATGGGGGTAATCAGTCCCCTGTCCAAGTTCCTGAGCTGCCCATTCCAGTATGTATACAATAATCATCTGGTTCCTAACCAGCTGCTTTCTAAATCTACAAGGCTGTACATATATGTCACAAATATTAATCAGCCTTATCTTCTAACTCGGGTATTCTAGTTCAATATCAGATTTTGCAATCAATCTGCTCCTCTATACTAGATGCAGAGAGAAGATTTCAAAGCACAATTCAAATCCGTGGGCTAAATCCTAATTGTTCTTGAAACTTTTGATCAAGAGTGCATGTTGTCTAGACAAGTTTGTAAGCAGAACTGGTCCATAACATCTCGATTTGCTTTATAATGTTGTTATGCCGAGATCTGCAAAAATGTGAAATATGTGTTCAATATGAAGGTTCTGGCAATTCAAAATCCTTATCTGAAAAATACAAGATATTTTAATAATTATTCATCATGCAGCAAGCAGAAAATTGTCATTGCTCTCATGCTGACTTCAAGTAGCATTATATATTCCTGGAATAGTTTCGCCCTCATTCTGTTTGAAACCTTTGATGTCAACCCATCTGCATTCTTGCAGTACTTTGAATCTTTTGCAGAAATCCCTAGTGCTACATGGAAAAATATGAAATACACAGGTGTATACCAGAAGACAAAGATTTGGCTGTGTTATGTAAACAATTTGTGGAGTGGGGAAGGTGGCGTGAATTCTTCAAATCCCATTTTACAGGTCAAAGACTGATCTTTTGGATTTGGGTGTTGATTCTAAAATTCCACAGAGATCTCTTCCATGTTAGTGAATCAGTTGGATATAGTGAATTTCCTGGGTTAAAATGAGGCCTTCCAAATAGCACTGATTTCCTGGTATGTAAAATCTGGCACGTTCCATTATTTTCCAATGCATTCCATCACACCTTCTACACCCAAATCCATAGTCTGATGATTGTGTACTCTTTAAAAAATTATCTCCCTTAAAAAGATTGGGACTTTTTAAAGGAGGATGGGTTGGGTTGGAATTGTTGTTGGGTGGGCTTTTTGTTTGTTTATTTGCTTTTTTAGATCATGGGTTTATAAACTCAAAATGTTGATGAGATTTCAAGGGCTGTTTCTTCTGATCCCATTGGCACATTGCAATAGTTCATTGATTCTCTTAATAAGCTAAACACTTTCGATTTTTCCCTTTTTTCATTTAATTCACAGCAATATTAAATACTATAAAAATTAGGCAGGCAATTAACTGGAATTGTGCAGAAGCACTTGTCATGACTTGGGAGCCCAGAGACATTGTAGAATTAAGCAGTGCTATGAACCTGACCTTGCAGGAGAGACACAATCCTTTCCAGAACAGGTTGAAGCCTGTGAGGCAGGCATTCTGCTGACTTTCTCATCAGAGTTTCATTTCAGCTTCTTCAACTTCACTCAGTGAAGCTGAACCAACCCAGGCCAATTGCATGGGTATTGACTGCTTCCTTGGTGTTATATGGCAAGGAACAATATAGCTGGACATTATCACCTCAGTCCAAAATGCCCAATGACTTCTCCCAGTAGCTTCAAATAAAAGTTGAACAGTAGATAGTATCAAAAGCCTCCAGGAGAACTAACAGGGCTATGTTCTGCCGCTTTTGGCATGGGTCATCCACCAAGGCAACTAATAGCAGTCTCAGACCCATACACTGGGCAAAAGCCTGAAATCAATCTGGATAATTAGTGTCACCCAGAAGTAGCTGAGTGTTGCAGTGTTGCCACCTCCTAAGTGGTGCCAAGAATTTTCCACAATTTTCTATTGTGGTAAAAACAACAAGGAGTCTTGCAGCACTTAAAAAGTTCCCTTTAAATAAGCTTTTGTAGCCCATAGTCTGTGTTTAATTACATCTGAAGAAGTGGACTAAAGTTATGCCAACAAGGCTCCTTGTTGCCTTACCCAAGAAAGGAAGGTTTGATGGAGGCCTATAACTATTCCAGACTTCTGAATCGAAGGCAGATTTATTTCATCTTATTAGTGCCTACTACAAAGAGAAGACAAGAACTCCTTCCCATAAAGCAACATTAATCACACACCTCCTCACCATTGCATCACATTTGCAAATTTAATCAGCCTGGAAGGGAAAGAGCCAAGTGAACAAATGGTAACTCTTTCTATTTCTTCCCTCCATCTCCATGTTCTGGATCTACAAGCTGAAACAAATCCCAGATGATGGGACAAGTACTTGCGAAAGGTCATCCAGAACTGTGTCTGCATTAAGACAAGCCTGGCTACTTTTGTCTGCAAATACAGCAAGCTGCTCAGATGGGCATGAAGTAAAAAAACGAATCATCAAATTTGTTCAAAAATCACTAATTTATCAATTTATATTTGTATGAATCAATGACCTCAATGAATCACAGCTCAATGAATTATTAGTGATTTCTGACTTATTTATTTGTTTGGCTATAAAACAGCCCCCAGCACACACAGAGACTCCAAAATTGCAGGGAAGCTTCCCCTGACTCTCCTTTACAACCCTCCAAGATTGGTGAAGATTGGATTTCATGAGTTACATGCTCCCAAAGACAGTTCCCCAGCTAAGTTCCCCCAAAGTACCTAGAGACACCAAAATCACAGAGAAGTTTCCCCTGTCTCTCTTCTACAATCCCTCCAAGTTTGGTCAAGATTGGGTTTCCCCAAGCCAGCTTCTAAAGGACACTTTCCTGGGGGAGCCTGCTTTGTGCATGTATAACATGTTGTAGGGATTGCAGAGGAGATCTAGGGGTGTCCCTATGTGCCTGGGGAGAACTTTCCCATGGGGACCCTCCGTGTGAGTGTATAACTCAGACATCCAAAGCCCAATCTTCATCAATCATGCAGGGCTTGTAGAGGAGAATCACGGGAAGCTTCTCTAGTATTTTGGTGTCTCTAGGTGCTGGGGGAGGCATTTTGTAGGGTTTTAAAGTAAAAAGTAAATTGACAAATCAATTTGTTGACTGATCAGAAAACAATTTGTAAATCTGTAATTCATGATTCATCGATCTTGATGAATCATGACTCAAAATGAATCACCATTTTTCTGATCTGTGCCTATCTCTACTGCTCATAGTAGGAAACCAGCTACTCTGGTAACTCCTCTCCTGTACCCTGATGAAGAATATTTCCCACAGTTAAGGAAAGCATCACCAGTTGGTGTGAATGTGATAACTTCATTAATATGAGCTCTAGTCACTATCTTCGTTGCTGTGGTATAGCCCTTCAGATGGTATATCTTGAATGCAATCAGAGTACAATCAGGTTTTCTATATATGTTGGGGAGTATTACTTCACAAAGAAGCATTAAAATGGCAACTCCTCCCCCATGTGTAAGTAGTTCAATTTATGCTATAAGCTCAGAACCTTTCCACCCTATTCTTGTTGCATATATAGGGCTCATTTTAACAATTTTAAAGCCCTATTCATTAGAGGATAAGTTCTCTGCTGGCCTTAATGACCTGTTTAATTAAGAATTTTTTAAAATTATCTTATGTTTATTTCCAATTTAATAGATGTTTCAAAAGCCTTTTGGAAAAGGACCTCCTCCCATGTCTCATCAGCTCTCGTGAAGCATCTAGCAGCAAGCATAAGCCCTTTGATTATGATTAGCTAATTATATTTTGTGTTTGAGATTTGGGTTGTG